AACTATCTGGGTATATGAGGAACCATCAGGGTCTGTTAGTAACTATCAGGGTATATGAGGAACCATCTGGGTGTATGACGAACGACCTGAGTATACTAGGAACCAACTGGGTATATTAGTAACTATCTGGGTATATGAGCAACCATCAGGGTCTGTTAGTAACTATCAGGGTATATGAGGAACCATCTGGGTGGATTAGTAACTATCTGGGTATATGAGGAACTATCAGGGTGGATTAGTAACTATCTGGGTACATGAGGAACCATCAGGGTCTGTTAGTAACTATCTGGGTATATGAGGAACCATCTGGGTGGATTAGTAACTATCTGGGCACATGAGGAACCATCCTGGTCTGTTAGTAACTATCTGGGTATATGAGGAACCATCTGGGTGGATTAGTAACTATCTGGGTATTTGAGGAACTATCTGGGTGGATTAGTAACTATCTGGGTATATGAGGAACCATCTGGGTGGATTAGTAACTATCTGGGTATTTGAGGAACCATCAGGGTGGTTTCGTAACTATCTGGGTATATGAGGAAGCATCTGGGTGTATGACGAACGACCTGAGTATACTAGGAACCATCTGGGTATATTAGTAACTATCTGGGTATATGAGGAACCGTTTGGGTGGATTAGTAACTATCTGGGTATTTGAGGAACCATCTGAGTGGATAAGTAACTATCTGGGTGTATGAGGAACCATCTGGGTAGGTTAGTAACGATCTGGGTATATGAGGAACCGTTTGGGTGGATTAGTACTTATTTGGGTTTTTGAGGAGTCATCTAGGTGTATTAGTAACTATTTGGGTATATGAGGAACCATCTGGGTCTATAATTAACCATCGGTGTCGAGGAAGAAGTATCTGGGTGTTTTGGGAATTATCGGTGGGTATTAGTTGATATCTAGGTTGATTGAGAACTGCTTGACTCCAGTAGGTACTAGTGGGATCTAATCGAAACTAGCAAGAGCTATGGGGAAATATTAGGTTTGGTTAGAGTCTGGTAGGTAATGCTGGCAGCCGGTAAAGTTTACTATGTATGACTTAGGACTCTCGTAGTCTAGCAGGTATTGACAGGAATACTAGCGACCACTAATACGAACGCTGCATGCGCGCATATCGAAGTAATTTGCCCTGTGAGAGTAAAACAGATTTTGCGAGAAAGTCACACCCAGGACTACACTCCTCCGACGGGCTTAAGATCTGCTAGATTTATTGTTTGGGAATATTCATAGGGTCTTAAGGGTTATTGAATGTGAATGTATCTATAGGCTATGTGGGAGAGGATGGTAATAAGAAAGCAAGATAATATGACACGAAGAAATAAGAAAAAAGACTACAGAAGGATAGGATGCGGAACTCTGTGTGAGCTACACAGCCATAGGGCGATTTATCTGTATAGATGTTGTTATATAGGCATGTTTGTTATTGAAGCAAAAGTTAATAATTTGAGGTCTTACATTTAAGATGAAAACAGCCATGTAGTGTGCACGTGGCTGCACTAGTAAAGAGATGAATCCTACATATTTCTTAAAAAGAAAATTATGGATATAAATTTTAGTAGTGGGTATCATCGATATCCATTAGAGTTTAGTAGAGTTCACTAATTCTTGCGGTCAGTTCTGTTCTTTTGAAAGATTCTACCAATATGCATCTTCTTAAACGCGTTTTATATTCATATTATTTTAGCTTCTGATGCGTTTAGGTAATTTCTCAAATTACTTAGAACCGCAAAATAGCGTATGATATTCTTGCGAAGTCCAATATGTTTCTCCATATCTTCATGCAGTTCTACCAGTTATGTGGTTGCTAAGCTGAGTGGCAGAGTCATGATTTTATATCTATCTATTAGTTTCACTTAGAACCAGAGTTTATAAAAACTACTATTAAAAGTAAATTTGAAATAGTGTAGGAAAGACTACCTTTCACCATCATATTTTATTCATATGATCAATACTTATGATGAGACAATGTTCAAAATTTTAAACGAACTTTAAGCACATAAAAATAGTTCTAGTTTTCATAATTTAAACTTCCGGAAAAATATTAAATATTTTTATATAATATGGGTGTATGTGAGCATAGGGTAAGGGAAGATTGATACCCACGTTCATCTTAGATATTTCTATGCTAACTTGAGCGAGCCGATAATGTATACTGTCTTGTTTTGTTCTAGGTGTGAACGCAAAGATGCCCAATATTCAAGGGCCAATGGCTAATGAACAAGGTTTTCGGGCATGGATGCGCCGACGGTGAGTGCCTGTTGCCCTTTTTCACACAAAACATAGTAATTAAATTTTTTTCAGTCAAGAATGGTTAGGATGCTTACTTGCGAGTTGCTGTACCGCAAGTGGCCTGGTCACGATAGGGGCTGTCGTAGCCATCGCCTTGATTCCGGTCTACCTTAGCAAGCAGGGTAGCACCATGACAAACACGAACAAAGGTGAGTGGATGATAATAACTTTATAGAGCTTTTTATTAATGGTTATTCGCCATCATAGGGACGATATTGAATTTGGCGTTCTCGACAGATTACTCACCACCATCGGATACTACGCGGCCAGTTATTGTAAACAAGCAAGCTTTGGCAACACAGGTAGGCTTTTACCGTCTTACGAATAGAAACAACAATAAATATCGTGAGCGATATATGGGGTTTTGATTTCCAATGAAAGAAAGATCTTTTGAAACTACGCCAGTTCTATCTTTAGAGTACTGTCGGCTGATTTATGGTGACTTGTAAGGAGATGTAAAGCATCTGAGCTATATAACTTCAAGATAAAGTATATTCTTGTGAATATTACAATGTTTAGCGTGTGTCGGTAATAGAACTCGTTTTTTGATTTACAGAACATGTTTTGAACAAAGAAAATGAAATGATTTGACGTTTCTAGAAAGACTTCGAACTGTATTTTATTTTATAAACACTAAAAATGTTGGCAACTGTAACATTAACGAAATTGAGAAACATTTTATTTGAGAATAAGAAAATATTCGTGAGTTTATATTCTTTACAGTAGGAGATTCCATCGGCTTACTCCAAATAACTTGTATAGGAGTTAAACAAACCTAATATTAAGCATGCGTTATCATAGGCGATAATACTCATACGGTATATCCGTATAAATGCATCTACAGTTGCGAAAACCCTCTTTTAAGTCTGCTTAGAGCCGCAACTTTTGATTACATTTATCGTACTTCAAAATCTTATAAGCAAACTTTTCTGAATCATTCGATAGCTGTCCGATTGCCAGCAATCCATCATATGCGCCATTAGCAAGACTAAATAATATATCTTTGAGTATGCATGCTGACTTTTCGCCTTTTCTTTTGTCTCGTAATCTAAAACTGACACATATGTCTTTAAGTGAGATCATTGCGGCAATTTATTTATTGTTTTTGACTATTTCGTCAGTAAATCATGATGAAAATATTCATTGTAATAATTAACGAAGAATTACTTGGTAGCATGTTGTATGCTTTATAGTATCACAGCTATTCTGTTTATGATATACCATAGTTTTTGGAACGATTTAAAAGACGATAATCGAGTATCACTCGATTTGTCAAAATTCATTTCTGAGCATTTTGCAAATATATTTATGTCCCATCACTCCGTTGTTCGTAAGCAGCAGCGATGGCCGAACAATTCTAAGAGGGAGTCGTTTATCATACCACTGAAGTACACCTGAGTCGAGACATAGAAATGTTGACATACTTCATCTTGATTTTCCAAACAGATAGGTATTGTAATTGATCATGAATCAAATAATTATGACTTCGGTCGTTTCACAAAGGCATTAATTTTTCGCTTCCGATTTTGTTGACTAAGAATAACTCTTTTTCACTCGTTCTAGATTGAGAAGGAGGCCAGAATCGATACGGGTACCTTAACAGCAACTAATACCCAATTCGCGAATCAAGCAGGGATTCGTCGACGCCGAGGGTAAGTAACTTTTGTTTGTAGAATATCATTAAGTGAATCTCTTTGGATCTTTGTTAGTACATCTCCGTGTGATGCAAGTGCCAATACACCATTGGCAGGTGATTTTCTCCAGATCAGCTTCTCGGTAACATATCCAAAACGGTGCGGCAACGCTATTGAAAGCATTTGTGCAAGAAAGTTTCTAGACAAGGTTACTAAAGCACTTATTGATCTTACTGTACTGAAGGCAACGATCCAGATCAATGGGAGTGCACCAATCGAGATACAGCTCTCGATTTGTTCGATCACAAGTCAAATTACAAGTAAGTTTTTCTCTGTTCTTTGTGTACTATTACCCTTGACTTACGAGGGAACGTCGCTAGGTGTTACCCTCCGATCTTCCAAATTCTCTCATATTTTGATGGTACATAGTGACCTATTAAAAACCTCAAAAGGATCTGAGTTGATATTGAGTTGATATTGAGTTGGGGCAGAACTATGAAGTTTTCAATATATGAACCCATTAAAAAACCTCCGTGGGGAACCGCAGGGTCGAAAAAATGAAAGTTTGATTTTGGACCTCAAATTTTGCTCAAATATAGAACTAAGTTAGAGTAGTCTATACACAAAAATTCAGAAGTTTAGGTCAATGTTTCGTGAAGATCGACCAATTTAATAATATGCACCCTTTTAACATATGAGTACAGCCTTTCCGACATGTTATATTTCGGCGAGGCTTTGACCTAAACTTCTGAATTTTTGTGTATAGACTACTCTAACTTAGTTCTATATTTGAGCAAAATTTGAGGTCCAAATAGGGGTGTCACTTTAACTTTAACTTTATTAGTTAAAGTGCTTAAAGTTTAAAGTTAGAACTTTTACATTAACTGTTAAAGTTAAAGTAAAATCACTACACTGCAACTTTAAAAAAAACATATAAAGTTTTGGAAATGTTTCCCTTATTCATTTTTCGACCCTGCGGTCCCCCACGGAGGTTTTTTAATGGGTTCATATATTGAAAACTTCATAGTTCTGCCCCAACTCAATATCAACTCAAATCCTTTTGAGGTTTTTAATAGGTCACTATGTACTATCAAAATATGAGAGAATTTGGAAGATCGGAGGGTAACACCTAGCGACGTTCCCTCGTTAGTATAATAAAGTATTTTCCCTTGTTCGACATCGAACGAAAGTTAGTGCCTATTTATCGACAAAAGTATTCGAAGATTCTCTAAAAAAAACATTAAGATCTCCTTAAATCTCATAATTTAATACTAATCGTATCATATGATAGAATTGTATGAGCAGGTGGCTATTAATTCCCAAAGATATTTTCAAATCTATTCTAGTCAAACAAATGAGCTTTCGACAAAAGCTTGGTAAATAGAATTTAAGACATGCTATATCTTTAAAGATCTATTTCAAGAAACTAGAACACTCGAAGACTACGATTAGATTGACATCTTTTATGCTGGTATTCTCTTTTATACAATACAGAGCTTTTCACCTTATAGTGGACGCCTGACAAGTATTATTATTGAGGTGAAAACTGGGAACATTGCACTTGAATAAAGCTAAGAGGAGGTTACCTAGTACCTTATTTTATTTTGAGAATAAGATTTTTTTCTCTTATTGTAATAAATAATCAAATCTCAGCTTATATACTTCTGTATATGTAAATCTACTTTCAAACAAAAAGAATAATACTACTCATATTTCTATGTTTTTTCTAGCCGCAACATGCACCGACAACGTTCACAATGGAGATGAAACGGATGCCGACTGCGGCGGTCGGATTTGCTCAGCGTGTGCGGATACGAAGAGCTGTCTCGTCGATGCAGATTGTTCAAATAACAACTGCAATGCAACCACCAAGACATGCTTATGTAAGTCCACCAGAAAGAGATAGGACTGTATTAATCATTCTTCTTTGAAAAGTATTAACTAAATCTGCATGTCCTTACAATGAGCCATTTTTAATTTTCAGCGAATATGTACCCCCATGTAGAAAAACGTGAAAAATCTGATTTTCATGAATCTTTTTAAAATAATCGATTTCAATTAGGATCCTCAATATTTTTGCATAAACGAGTGAATATCGAGCTATATTGTACCTGGAAATATGATAAGAGTATCACAGGTTGCTCTACTGTTGTACTTACTATTTATCGATACAAGGATCCTGAGAACAATGTTGAGAAGTCTGGCTGATAGTCAGAAACCTGATGAAATATATTATCTGCTGCGAGTTCATCGATTAAAATATATTCTTTTCAATGGTTTCATTAATGAAAATTAGTTTCTTTTATAAAAATCTATTGAAATCGATTAAAATTGATCTTCACAGAAACAACCTATTAAAATCTAGTTTTGGCCACATTTAAACAGATTATATGGTATTTAACCATATTTTCTTGATTTTTCTCGAAAAATCTATTTTAATGAGATTTTTAATAGTTTTTTTACATGAGGCATTATCCGTTGTAAAATAATTAATATAGCACGTACAAGCGATGTAATTATTTAATTGCTAAAATATTTTCAAAGTGGTTGAAAAGGCTGTGAATTAGTAATAATCTTTGCGATTATTCTCTATTTTTAAAATTGACTAGAAAATCTCGAGGGTGGGTGTCGGTCCGAGTGACTTTGAGTGCGGGTAGAAATCCTTCTTCTTTACTCTCATCTACCTATACATACAATCACAACGACATCTCAAACCAATACTGACCCCTATACGCCTTAAAAATAATACTCTTCAATCTATTTAGTAAAAACATGCAGTGCTGTTACCGACTGTGCTACTGGTAATTGTTCTGGTAGCTCATGCCAAGGTGAGTTACTGGATTTCAGTGAAACACTAAAAATAATATTCATCCTTCCATTTAGCAAAAGAATGTGCAGCTTTAACCGATTGTCCCAGTGGTCTTTGTTCTGGAGGATTCTGTCAAGGTGAGTGTTTTTATTATGTAATATCGAGAAACAAAACTTATCAATTTATTTAGTAAAAGCATGCAGTGCTATTACAGACTGTCCTACTGGTTCTTGCACTGGTGGCTTATGTAAACGTAAGTTCTACCGTACGCGAAAATATTCATCCTACTGTTCCCTCGTTTGTTTAGCAAAAGCATGCGGCGTCGTTCCGGATTGTACTAGTGGTGTTTGTGCTAACGGGCTCTGCACACGTGAGTTCCTTCATTCCGCAATATGTATAAAGACAACACATTAATCTATTTAGTAAAAGCGTGTGAAAATCCCAACGACTGTCCGACTGGTGTTTGCTCCGGTGGCGCATGTCAAGGTGAGTTAGAACTTTTAGAGAACCGGCCAAACTAGTATTTATTCTCTCGCTTAGCGAAAGCATGTACTAGTGTTGGCGACTGTCCAAGTGGTGTTTGTACTGGGGGTGTGTGCCAAGGTGAGTTCGTCCATTGTGTGAATTATGAATACAATATTCATGTTTCTGTTTAGCAAAAGCGTGTGCTAGTGTTGGAGATTGTCCAAGTGGTGTTTGTACCACCGGCGTGTGCCAGGGTAACTTGCTTGTTCGAATGTATTATGCATAGTGTTCATCTTTCTATTTAGCTAAAACGTGTGCGAGTGTCGGAGACTGTCCAA